CGCTCACAGCTGCTCTGGGCTCAATGAGAACTGGGAACTGCTCCGGGTTCCGTGTGGGCAGGACAATTAACCAGATAATTAAAGGGGAACCAAATATGGGGCACGTCTGGAGCAGGAGAAGCTTTGTCTGATTTAAATCCTGTCTGAGTAGGTCAGACACCCATTTCTAGAGGGTGTTGGACACCTTCAATCCCTGACCCTGCCCTTTGTTTTCCTTCTCAGAAAGCCCTGAGCCAGGTCCTGTTCCTGACCACCCACTTACCCACCTTCTTCCTGAGGCATCGTCTGCGCAGCCACGTCTTGGAGATCCGGCAGCTGGACCGTGCCCTGCTGCGCCTGGGCTTGGGCCAACTGTCCGAGGAGGAGCTGAAAGCGGTGAGGATGAGGATGGGGATGAAGATGATGAGGAAGGGGATGAGTCAGGGACTGGGGAAAGGCTGGAGACAGGGATGAAGATGACAATGGAGATGGGGACAGGGATGAAGATGGGGATGAGGATGGAGATGAAGATGATGGCGATGAGGATGGAGGTGAGTCAGGGACTGGAGGATGGAGATGAAGACAGGGGACAAGGATTGAGATGAGGATGAAGATGGGGATGAAGAACATGATGGGGATGAGGATGGAGATGAGTCAGGGACTGGGGAAAGAATGGAGACAGGGATGAAGATGACAATGGAGATGGGGACAGGGATGAAGATGAGGCTGGGAATGGTGGCAGGGATGAAGACAGGGGACAAGGATGGAGATGAGGATGAGGATGGGGACAAGGACGAGGAAGAAGATGGAGATGAGGATGCAGATGGGGATGGCACAGGGATGGGGACAGGGATGAAGATGACAATGGAGATTGGGACAGGGATGAAGGTGGGGATGAGGATGGAGATGAAGATGGAGATGAGGATGGGGACAGCGGTGAGGATGAGGACAAGGATGAGGATGAAGATGGGGATGGGGATGAGGACAGGATGGAGGTGGGTGAGGGACTGGGAAAAGGATGGAGACAGGGATGAAGATGGGGACAGGATGGAGATGAAGATGGGGACAGGATGGAGATAAGGATGAGGATGGAGACGGGGAAGGAGATGAACATGGGGATGGGGGTTGTGTTATCCCAGCCCTTCCCCTCGTTACTGGGCCATGGCACGTTCCTCCAGACCCGCTGCGGGGCGGATCGTGGCCGCTCTGCCCCAGGAAGGTGTTTTCTGAGCCCGTTTTCCACGCTGGGATCACGCCGGGGCACCGTGGGGCTCGATTCACCATCGCTCAGCCCCCTCCACCCCGAGGGAGGATCCCAGCACCATTCCCGGTGTTTTCCACCACCCAGAGTGCCCATCCCTGTATTTTTTTCTCCTCTCCCCTCCTCTGCAGGCTTGTTACCTCCGTGGCTTGAACTCCACTCAC